GTGGTTCCTGTTTTACACATGATTTAAGTTCTCCAATGACTTCTGCTTATAACTAATATAAACATTAAGCGGTACAAAAATTAATTTCTCGAAATTTCATAAAATTAAATAAGTGGGCGGTAAAAGTATTTTAGCAAGATTTTCTAAAAAGGAAACATTTCTAAAATAATTTCATTTATTTGTGAATGAATCCTGAAAGTTTCATTAAAATCCGACAATTATTTGATTTTTTCAAGCATTTCCAAATATATGTGTTTTTTACCACAAAAAAAATGACGCTAAAATTCCCTTTACTAATCATTGGTCCATCCATTTTTTACCAAAATTTCGAACCATCTAAAAATATAATTTAATAATCAAAAGGTCTTTTGGTCTTACCTCTTAATAATAACATAAAGATTTTGACGGTAAAACTTTGCTTTTATTAAGTTTGGGGCATTTTTTCATCATGTCATGCTCATTTTCTAACGAATCTGTGGAGGTATCTACTTTTTATGATTACTCAATCTGTATTTAACAAATGTATTTCTTTTGCCTTCCAACTTGCCCAGCATTTTCTGTGACTACTATCGAAATAGTTTGTATTGAGTAAAATTATTTGTGAAATTATTTTTTAGACAATTTCGGCCAGTCTTTTCTTCATCTGCTTTTCAACGTTTTTTTCTTTTCTTTTTTTTTTTTCTTTTTCATCCCAAATTTATAGGCCAGATGCCTTCCAACCGGTAAAGTCGTGTGAGTTGAAAATAAACAAGTAGCTTCCCATGAGACCAAAATTCGTAAGACAAATCGTCTTTCGTGGTCGTCACTTAAATTAATTCGGTCACGATAGCCATTGAAATTTATAGAGTATAAATCGATTTTCCAATTACCTTCCTACATTTAGCGCTACACATATTTTCTACTTCTCTAATTGTCAGTAAACTTGTATACTTACCCCATCTGTAATAGCCACAGTGTATAGGGGATTTTATAAGCATAGCTTAGCTGTTGCACAAGGCCGAAAATATGGAATACCCAGTGAGGTTCGTAATTACTAGTCAGTCGTAATTGATTTAGCCAAACAAGCTTGCTAACAATTACACCAGATCAAAGTGCCCAAAATATCCACAGCGTATTATGAAGTCCTCTCTCTATCGGGCTAACTCGCTGATAGATATGTCGCTGCTTGTAAGACGTTTCGATGCATTAGACGCGCCGTAAGTATGATTACTGAATCCCGCGAATATACCCAGCATATGCTAACGAATGCGTAATATTAATCGTAATATACAATAGTATCATTGTTAAAATGTCTACCATAAATAATGCTGCTTTCTTACCAGTAGTTTAAGAAATAAGGAAAGTGTTACTTGAGCAGATGTTACTGTAGCAGGAATTTTGTGAATATTCCAGTATCCCAACTGCAAGAATAGCTTCTTTCAAAACATTAATTTAATGTTTGAAGCACTGGACTTGTTTTACTTTCAAGGGCTCAGAATCAGATGTAACTGGGGGGGCTGATACTCATCCCACATCCCAAATTTATAACATGTCACCGACGTTTCATTTATAGGAGGCAGGATGGTTTTTGGAGATATTTTATCAGAAAAATGCATCTTATAAGCAGCAAAATAGATAGATAGATAGATAGATAGATAGATAGATAGATAGGATGGATTTTGGACATTAGTCGGACTATTGTCCTCATCTTTGTCGCCATATTTGTCACAACGTTTCGGCCGTTGTACGCTCCGGCCTTCTTCAGGTGGTTGGAAAACTGAACCCCTTTATTTCGATCGCTGGGGTAGACTGAAAATGCAACCACCTGAATCTTACAAAATGACAAAGCAAAATAGATAGATAGAAAGATAGATAGATAGATAGATAGATAGATAGATAGATAGATAGATAGATAGATAGATAGATAGAGGAACAAACTAAGCTAGCGAAATAGATATCACATTTCTTAACGAAAATATTGAATTACAATATGGGATATTTCAAAACGACAGCAATTAAAATAAAAACAAATGCGGTAGGAACATGAATGCACACCTCAAGATATCGGGTGTCGGAAATTTAAAATTAAAATTTATAATCCAGTCACCATGCATGTTTCAGCGTTTCTCTCGATCTATATTTATAACTGACGTTTGTTTGTATTTCGTTCCCTTCCCAGCATATATATCTGATCTCCTCAATAAAACATAGATAGATAGATAGATAGATAGATAGATAGATAGATAGATAGATAGATAGATAGATCTATCTCGCTATCTATCTCAATATGCTCATATATAACTAGCCCAGTATGTTCATATCTATATCTGAACAGATTGAGCTATCTATCTAGATATCTAGATAGATAGATAGAACGTCTGGAATCCTCCCCGAAAATAAATAAAAGCAAAAGAATATTTTTTTAAATAAACTGTGCAATCTCTTGCACTCAAACTTTCTTAATTTTTCACACATTTAATGATTTAAATATCATCTCTTCGTCGCTGATGACATCTCAAATGTCTTTTAAGACCTGCAAGAGTCTTAAGTCTTCTCAGCCATACGCGGAGTCAGCGTAATGTAAACTACCAATATCATACATGTCATAAAATGCGTCTATCAGCGAACGAATTCACATGACATTTCCACAGCTAGCCTCCAGAAAGGCAAACTGCTGCAGGAAGACTGACATACATACATACATGCATACATACGTGATCGCTGCGACTCGATTTCGAGTAATGTCATCGCTTGATTGATCCTCAAACATGACCAGCGCAGATGTGGGGTTTTTTTTATCCTGTTAGGGTCTTACATTCTCTTGCGCAGATGTGGCAACGTTGGGCACTTCTTGCAGTAGGTGTTACATTAATATTTTGGCGGACTTTCATATGACGTTTTAGCCCACCATCTTCCCTCTCTCTTTGCAAGTAGAAATGCTTTATAACGTCTTATTAATGACTTCACTCTCTATGTGGCGTCTTAGATGATTTTTGTGGTTTGCCCTATTTAGATAGAGGCAATTACATTCCTTACATGTTAAATATAGCAACGTTGTAGTGAAAAATATACTCGTGTACGAGTACGACCATTTCCATAACATTACCTTTGATTTGCTTGCTACTAATGTCGTTTCTGGCGACTCATTAGTACAGCCAGTGACCTACACTAAGCCACAGTTTTTGCAAGCTTAAATATTACTGCATTGGTATCATTATGCCGTGACTTTAATGCTGCATAAGTCCACTCGTTGACCTGCACACTTTGTTGTATAGATTGCAAGTGAAATCAGGGTGAACAGCATAGTGATAGATAGTGTTTTCGTTGGTGTTGTGGTGTCATGTATGATTAATCAAGCTAGCCTCTGAAAGGCATACGCGCCTACATTCTGCCCAGGTGAGAGTCGTTTTAGTCCTTTTTTATTTTCTCTATGTAGAGGAGGGTCCGTTGTATCTCTTCCTATTCAGTCTTTCAAAGTCATTACTACCACTGTCTTCCAAGTAGACATTTTAGACGCAAGATCTTCCCAAACGCAGTTGTCCATGTTAAACTTCTTAAGTATTTCCAGTTTTTATAGCGTTTGTGCGTCTTGCACTGTGGACGTTTGCCTTACTTGGAAGTTGTTCTCTAAGCGTACTAAGTGACCAGCCTATACTAGTCACCACTTTATAACCATGGACTCAATACTTGACATCTTTACCCTTTGCGGCACAACCGTATCAGGTATTCTCGTTCTAAACGATATTTTCAGTAGCTGACGCAAGCAATTTATATATAATAATGACCCGCTAGTCTCATTTTCCAAGTACACCGGTCTGCTATCGCGGTTTCCGTGTAAATCCCAATTTCTGAGTACACTGGTTTACTAACCCAGTTTCCGAGTACATTGGTCTGCTAGCCCGGTTTCCGAGTACACTGGCCTGCAAGCACGATTTCCGAGTACACTTGTCTGCTAGCCCGGTTTCCGAATATACTGGTCTGCTAGCCAGATTTTCGAGTATCCTAGCCCGGTTTCCAAGAACACTGGCCTGCTAGCCCGGTTTTCGAGTACACTGGTCTGCTAGCCCGGTTTCCGAGTACACTGGTCTGCTAGCCCGGTTTCTGAGTAAACCGGTCTGCTAGCCCGGTTTCCGAGTACACTGGTCTGCTAGCCCAATTTTCGAGAACACTGGTCTGCTATCCCAGTTTCTATGTACACCGGTCTGTTAGCCCAGCTACGGCAAATCGACCATGATGAGATTCAAACGCGGGATTCGAACGTGGATCTTATGGTCGAAAAACGAACGTTCTAACGATTCGCCCACGCGCCCATCTATATTTTATATACAGATATATACATAGCTTCAAATCTTCATTTATACAATCTTTTTAGTTGACAGCTTTTGTCATGCTGAATTTGTTCGATCGTAAGCCGTTGATGGTTGCCATTATCTCACCCCTCTCAGCTAATTGCCTCCGTATCTTATGGCACAGGCAGTAAAAGGACAAAATATTGCCTGTATTCGTATCTGGTAAATATTTGCCCGGTTTAATTAGTACCAGGTAAGTTGCCCCTATCAGTAACCCCAAACTCCCCACAGCTACCTCTGAAATTTGATACTGCGTGTCACTGTGAGAAGATAGTTACAGCCTGTTTGGCAGCAGAGATATTTGCATATTTGTCATCAACAGTTGTAATCGTCGTTCGCATCCATGAAAATTTTCGGGGAAAAGAAATCTCCAAATTTAAAAGATTGGCACTACACAGTCTTCCATCCACTTGGCATCGCGACGTTCTTTGTTAAGTTTAGTAAAATATCAAGAATGGTGATTCTTATTGTTTGCATTTCTCTGTTGAAAAATAAAATGTGCGGACGGGCGTGCCCTTGTCTACATCGACGTTTGTTAATTTAAAATAGCAATTTTAAAAGGAAGGCGGCAAAAATGAAATAAGATGGCACAAAAGAAAGAAAACAAGTAAGAAAAAAGTTAAAAGCTCAAAAGAAAGAAAGAAAGCTAAATATTCGAAAGATATTAAAAAGCTAGAAAGAAAGAAAGAAAGAAAGAAAGAAAGAAAGAAAGAAAGAAAGAAAGAAAGAAAGAAAGAAATTTATAAGTTCAAAAGAGAGTAAAAAACTAGAAAGAAAGAAAGAAAGAAATTTATAAGTTCAGAGGAAAGAAAATAAAAATCTAGAAAGAAAGAAAGAAAGAAAGAAAGAAAGAAAGAAAGAAATTTATAAGTTCAAAAGAAAGAGTTCAGAAGAAAGAAAGTAAAAAAACTAGAAAGAAAGAAAGAAATAAAGAAAGAAATAAATAAAGAAAGAAAGAAAGAAAGAAGTTTATAAGTTCAAAAGAAAGACTTCAGAAGAAAGAAAGAAAAACTCGAAAGTAAGAAAGAAAAAGACTGGACAGAAAGAGAGACGTTAAGTAGAATAGATAAATAGTAGGAAAACGTTAAAAAGAAAAGAAAACTTTCCAAACAAAAAAGGAATTTCTTCTGATAACGAATGGTGAACCTGAAAGGAATCTAAAACCAGAAAACCTTCATTCTTATCTCTTCACTCGTATTATTTTTTGTTCTTTTGTTTTTTTTTATTTTTGTTGTTTTTGTTTTGCCTTGCATTTTTATCATTTTCTTTTTTTCTTTTCACTCACGTCGTTCGTTCCACTAATCCGTCTCTTCTTTTCTTTTTAACTCTTTTTTGTTCCTTTTCTTTTTTTTTTCTTTTTTTTCTAACTTCGTTTTGATTCCTTTCCTCTTCTCCTTCCCAACCCAACTCAGTTCTCCCGTTTTACAAAGAGTGACATGATGGTGTGTCACTCGAGGTGAGACCTCCCGGGTATTAAGTTGCTTCGCGGAGGGCTACTGTCGCTATAGCGATCCGGACAGTATGTGACAATAACCCCACCCATCAGCTCAACAGACATACACGAGTGGCATCGGCTTGTTTGCCTCTGATCCTCACCCCAACAAGTACGGAAGCTTGCTTAACGTCTTGTTGTGATCCGTAAGCGGCCACCCAGCCAATCGTCATTAACGACAGTCGTTCTGGTATTGCCGTCGATTTACGGGTGCTGAGGAAGGGTCTGGAAAAGGAATCGAGGTGGGAAGAAACAAATGGGTCGTACTGCTTGCCACTATCCTTTTTTTAACTGAGCAAATAGAAGCTATTTTCAATCCTTTAGTCGGTTTGAAACTGGAATGTTTGGCCAAGTAACGTTTAGACATGGCCAGGATTTTTTTGTCAAAAGAAAACGCTCGTATGTTTCAGAGTTATTCAAACTTATTAGATATGATATAAGTATCTTTATTTAAACGTATGGACCTTTATTCAAGATCTAACTACTTTAATAAACAACGGCAGCTGTCACAAAACTATCTGGGAAGAACGTCTGCCTGAAATCAATGATCAAACTGTTGCGTACACTGGCCCACTCAATCTTTCTGTCTGCCTGCGAATCTTGGACATTAAGAGCAAAACTGCAGCAAAGAATCCAAGCACTGGAAATGGGATGTTACATAACCTCTCTGGACATCTTCTACATAGACCGCATCACAAATGACGCAGTGCGAGACATTATCAAACGTGAAACAGGCCTTACCAAGAACTTGTTCACCTTATCAAGAAAAGGTAGTTGAAATAACACTACATAACAAGAACCAACAATCTTTCCACTACCGTCCTACAAGGTACCATAGAAAAAAGAGGCAGACAGGGGAAAAATGGACTGACGACATTATTGAGTGGAAAGAAAGATTCTTCGCAAGACACTGCTTAGCACGTAACAAAGATATATCAAGAAGAGCTGATAAGATGCTCAACTCGAAGGACTGATTATGAGTATGATGATATACCCTGTATATCCTCATAATTGATTTCTTATTAGGTATTGAATATTATATCAAATATTACCACCAAAATGTGTTTCCTTCACTGAATCAGCAACGAAGGTTGTTTGTAATAAATAAAGTTAGAGATTTCATTTTACTGCTATTTTTGCATATGTTGGCTTTGAGTCGACATTCCTTTCCTTGACACTCCACGCTGCGTAACCTTCTTTTACTGCTTTTAAAACAAATGGGTCTCTAGTTAATTCCAAATCAAGTGCAACTCTTGAGCTTAAAAAAAAACTATGAAAAAAGGGTTACATATTATGAGGATATGTAGGATAGCTAGTGGTTGACTCTCGACATGAAAAGGTCAAGATTGTTGCGTTCAGAGAAGCATTTCAAATGCAATAGTTTTTAGGAATAAACTGAGTGGAACTTGCTCCTTACCAATGGTATATAGAGGGAATGAGGATGAGGAGATGTATATGGCATGGCGGTTCCTGGGCGTGAAGTTATGGACTGATGGAACGAAGGCCAAAAAATATCGTTTGCCCGAGAATGCCATGAAAATAGCAGTAGAGTAGCGAGTGGCTAGCAACGTTTTGTACGTAGGAAAGGGATTAGATGGCGGAACAGAGTTCATTACCCATAAGTTTGCGCAAACATTATTGAACTCGAGACTAGTAAGAAGAAACTTTTCTGTGAAAGAAGACACTCGATTTCTAACAAAAATAAAAATAGTGTTACTGTCAACCGACCTAGGAGAATACTTTACCTTGAACTCCTGCCGAGTGTAGTGTCAAATTTCATTAAAATTAGACAAGAGGTTCTTAAACTAGGGCCATTTTTCGGTTTTTCAGATACACGCTTAGGCGATTATATATCATGACTGACGAGACAGATTTTTTTCCCGCAGTAGTAAACCAGTTGTCATCCAAGGCTATAGAGGGAGGAGAAGAAGATTCCTACCTTTACCAAGAGTATAAGCACGTAAGTGAATGTAATGGATTCGACTGAAATTGGAACTCGACTCTGATTCCGCAATCCGAGCGGCTATTCATTACTCCACCGTGCCTCTTGGAAATTTAGTATTTGTTTTCTATACACATTATTATATTAGTCCGCGTATATAAAAACACTTGCATATTATATTCAACAACTACATGTGTGAAAAGTAACAAACATCTATAATACATTATACCAACATTATTAAATAAAGTTAAACATATATAGCACAACATATAATTATGCAATTCACTACACTACATTAGAATGTTTTTTTTTTATTTCGGATGTTTGATAAGTTCTTTATAGGTGAATATGCTATGTGGATTGTGGTTATGTCATTGTAAAGCGTAATCTGTATAGCTGGTAAAATATGTCATCTGACTTGATGGTAAATGAATAAATAGATGCACGCTGATTTGCCGCCGTTACGTATTTTGAAAATACAAGTATGTATAATAAAAAAAATTATTATTATTTTGAAAAAAAAAACTAGAAAAAATGAAAATAAGTGCATAAAAATGAGGCATCCATACTTTGTTTTTTCAATGAAAATGTATCTCAAGTAGATGAATGCTGTTTGTTTTTTGTTTTGTTTGTTTTTTTTGGGGGGGGGTTGTGACCGTCACATTTACCTTATCATTTTGTATCGTGAGCTGCGGTTAAAAGGAATCCAACGGGTTTATGGGTGGTCAACTAAAATATAAAATACTTTCTTACCGTGACTAAGATCTCCAATTCTAAGTCCTGATAGCGCATGTCCAGGATATTTCTCATTCATTTTACACTTGGCGTATCCGTACAGGACCATATCCAGTTCGTCCAAAGTAAAGGTGAAACCAACAAACGGCATTGGAGGAGGTGGTGGTGGAGGCGGTGGCGGTGGGTAACGGAGAGGCATGACAGTAGGTGAGGCCATTGGTGATGGCTGAGGGCCTGACGCAGGTCCACTTAAGGGTGGGTGACCTGGTGGGCTCATTCCCATACACATTTGGTTGGCCGGTAGACGAAGTCGTTCCATAGTGAATCTAGTGAAAAAAAAATGAATATAAAGGAATTTATATAAATGCAGTTTTGTTTTTTCATTCATCTTTCATTTATTTTATTTATTTTTTTATTTTGTTCTTTGTCTGGGTATCGGCGATTTTAGATGATACGTTGAAAACGGGTAATAAAAGCTACAGTTTCGAAACTCTATGAAAATGTGCCAATAACAAATCTCAATTTCATTGCCAGATCTTTGAAAGCCCACCTAAAGAGATTACAGAAATTCTAGAAAATGGATAAAGTAATCAGGTAAAGGGATACACATAAATTTCTGTCTGAATTTCTGGAATGAGGATTTATCATTATTTACACTATTTACATACGGACTGCTATCCTCATCTTTGTTCTTGTTATCACAGCAGCGGCAGCAGTAGAAGTAGAAAAGAGAGACCTCAGTGAATACAGTCAAGCACGACAAACAGCAACAGGACCGGACTTATCAGCAAGCAGATTAGGTTTATGGCTCTTAATTCTAATCTCAGGATTATTCCACGGGAAAATAGCCTAGTGGATTAAAGCTCTGGTTTGTGAATTTAGTGATATGATAATTGTGAGTTCAGTAAACTCAGTGGAAACGGGCGAGAAATAACTAAATTAGACTTTTCGGTATCCATAGACTATCAACGGAACGAGAACAATCTGTCCACTCCCACTCTGTAGAGTATATTGTTGGGGCCACCTACCTTCTCATCAGAATGGACTGATCTCTCTACTACTAATAGGATAGTTCTATAGAGTTCTGAAGAGATCAGGTGACCATCACACTTCCGTCTCTCTACCGGAAGATACAGTTGGACTTTATACTCTTTCTGATTGTTACTGACTAACCTGCGTTCGTTTGACTACTAATCTCTCTGTTGTAAATACCTCTTCAGATATGCCAGTATTTTTCCCTGTGTATGTGTTTGTCCTTATTTCAATACACGCACGCGGAGACACTCAACATCTCAACATAAATAAAGAGTTCAGTTCGAAGTTCCCTGAAGGTTACATCAATCGACAAACATTAAAGTACAACGACCTCCATCAACAGTAACAACAACAAAAATAAGAACATTGGTCCACATGTAAATAATTTAAATAAATATATTAGTATTGTATCTATGATGCTATATTAATACGAGTACTATGTTAGTAATATATTTTAATTTTTACATAGGTCCGCCTCTATAACTGGCCACTCATATTCGAGGATATCCGTCTACTAGGGCGGCTAACAAATCCCTATTCCAGACGCTTGCTCAGGCACATTTGCGTTTATTCAATATCCACAGAGCCCACCTGTGGTTTATATTGCAACTATACTGAGCAGACAGTAGTTACAATTTCTTGGAAAAGAGTGTTTTTTCTAGCATGATCAAAAGTTTGAACAAGACCAGCACGGTCAAGGCTTCTGACTTGCTGACTTTATGCTAGCACAGCTATCGACGGCACCCAAGGGTTCCGTCGACCCAGTGTCACTCACAAGGCTTGGGTCAACGCGTGGTATGGTTTTCAGGCACTTTCCAAAGGTGCCGCATGCTGGGATCAACTCCTCCAGTCCGATAACATCAGGAAGTCTACTTCCTGACAAATCGACCATGGTGAGATTCGAACCCTAGTCTTATCGTCAGAATGCGAACGTTCTAACCACTCGGCCACATTCCCAAACTCGGCCACGTTCCCAATAGGTTTGCTTATCGTCCGGTTTACACTCCTCTCCAGTCTTTTGAACAGGAGTAGAGGTTTATGAATGGTCCCTTATTTAGGATTGAGCATCCAGTTCCTTCTAAAGTCTTCAACTCTATTTTTATAACGTGTTCGCCTAGTCCTTTAAGTATTTTTTGCTTTGTATTTATTTTTTTTTGTTCCTCAATAAGTGTAGATCGGTTCACCTATCATACAAGTTCACACACTTCCCCAGTCTTTTGAAAAGGAATAAAGATTTATACTTTGTTTCCTGTTTAGGATTGGGTTTCCGGTTCCTTCTATGTTTCCCGCGTCTTAGTGGTACTTTCACCTTGCTTGGCATGAATTGATTAAGTACTATATTAGTCGAATATATTGGTGTTGAATATGAGTAGGTATTTTGACATGGATAAAAAAATCATTGGAACTGAGAAAATTATAACGCCTCTGAATAAGTGCAATATATATATATATATATATATATATATATATATATATATATATATATATATATATAAGGCAGGATGTGTGTGTGTGTGTGTGTAACGAATGTACGGCCAAAATTTTCGACGGATTTGCACCAAAATTTACATGCACATGCTCCAAGTTAGTGGAAAGGCCAAGACCAACTTTGCATTTCCCAACTCTCGACGATAGTGGAAATAACCGATTTTTTCATGCTTCTACGGCAGTTTTCATGTAGTTTGCGACCATTTTCTACTGGCCAGAGTGAGAACCAATAGCTGGCTGCCACGAATAGGCAGAAAGATTCTATTGGTTAGCGTGAGAGCCAACAGCTGACTGACACGAATGTAAACTAGCATGCAAAAAAATCGATAGCTACATTCGTCACAAGTGGGAAAAATTTTAATCTGCATGGCACTTTACTCCAATTGGCTCATTCGCTTGCTTAAACTCAACGTTGATTCTGATTCCGCAGAACTGTGTTGGGTGTGAAAAAGTTTTTGTTGTTAATATTCTTTTTTCATTCGGTTTTTCCAGTTGCGACTCCTTTTTAAAAGCTGGTCGTTTTGTGTTCATTTTGTTTAGTTCTTTTTTCGTAACAGATTTAATGTTTAGTATAGAGCTTAGAAAAAAATCGCAGTGTGAGATAGGCAAGAAGTAAGGCATGTAGCAACATCAGCACGGCAAAGGGCACTCCTTTAAGGGCAAGGAAGGCAAAAATATTTTAAGTCAAGTGATAACGATTGCTGTATGAGTCGTACGATTTTGAATCAAGCACGGGCAACGCCGGGCCATGCTGCTAGTATATATATATATATATATATATATATATATATATATATATATATATATATATATATATATATAAAGAACTGTAATATATATACAATCGTCAGGCAGTAAAAAAAAAGCAATATAATATATAGTTGTTCTAGTCACCTGAAGATCACATGCCCGTGAAACTCCGGTAACGATTCGGGATGTCCTTTGATATCAGTTAACATTGTGAAGCCTTTTTTGGTTCTGTCTAGGTAATCTAGGCATTGAACACTTTACTGTGTAAGTGGGTGTTTGCCTTTAGGTACTTTTCTTTCTTTCTTTTTTTTTTGTCCTTGATCGAGATTTTCTCTTCATTAGAGTGTTAGTCCTTTTTTCCACCAACGTATTTTATTTTTCTTTAATATATATATGTGTGTGTGTATGTGTGTGTGTATGTGTGTGAGTGAGTGAGTGAGTGAGTGAGTGTGTGTGTGTGTGTGTGTGTGTGTGTGTGTGTGTGTGTGTGTGTGTGTGTGTGTGTGTGTGTGTGTTTATGCGACAGTAACATTAACCATCTTTATGTCCACATGAAACTTTTAGTCGCAGGCAGCAGTAAAAGTCCATATATATTTGCATGTGCATGTCGGGTGTTTGTAGGATGTATTGGTGGGCATGTCGGGTATTTGTAGGATGTATTGGTGGGCATGTCGAGTGTTTGTAGGCATGTGGGTAGTGGTTAGCGGCTCGAAACGAGAAATTGGCGTGTCGAGTTCATTACATTCACTTTTGCACAAATACTCTTGGGAAAAGTTTTGATGATTAGTAAATATATACACGAGTTACTAAATTGGATATATAAGGCTCTGGTAACTTTTGCACACACCTCATAATAATTTTAGAATTACAAAAAGAAATTGATGCCAACCGAAAACAAGCATTTTTAGTTTAATGCAAACAGAAAAAAAAAACGTTTTAGCTATTAGTTTATAGATGTCGCTCTTTCGGAAACCTAAAATGTCAGGTTTAATGAACAAGGAAGACACGAGCAAAATGAAAAATTCTTACACACACACACACACACATATATATATATATATATATATATATATATATATATATATATATATATATATATATATATATATATATATATATATATATATATATAAAGTGAACATTGAAGTCAAAACTTAGAGGCGACAAGCTGTTTCGTGTCGCCTCTAAGTTTTGACTTCAATGTTCCCTTTTTATATTTACACACGTTCTATCTCTGATATTGAGCACTTTATTCCATAAATATAGCAAACCTTAAGACTATACTTCTTCATATATATATATATATATATATATATATATATATATATATATATATATGACTTTCACCTAATTTATTGAATCTGTACAGCGCGGCGATCCAAAGAAGACGAGAAGAGTCCTGTCAGGATTATTATTGGTGAACACAATCTTAACAACAACAGCTAGGCAAATGGCACTATGTTGGTAACAGACATAGAAAAAATGAAATAACTCCTAAACAAAGTAATAAAGGAAAGCGAGATGAAAGGACTAATTATCAGTTGTAAGAAGACGGATTATATGGTCGTTAGCATAAGGGACTGCAAAAGATGCGAGTTACAAACTGGAGACGTCAGAATGAAGCAAGCCCAGAAATGAAATATCTGGGAAAATGTTAAAACAGTCATAGTAATAAGCTGTTTGTAGAATTCAGAATGTGGATGGAAATGAAACAATATCCCGGCATTTTAAGGCTGGTGATATGACCCTTAAAACAAAGCCCGGAATTAAAAGACAATTAGTTACTGACTATTACTTTTTAAAACGCAAATTAAAGGAAACCTTGACTATCAGAATTCAGAAATTTTCAGAAGCGTTAACTTCATCGAAATATGTCATTTCTAGCAGTGACAGACTAAAATATTGGTTGCCAGATAACAAAGAGTGCTCATCCACAACTACAATGCTATTATTGAATTTTCATAACGAATAAATATTTAATAAAATACATATGGAAATATGGATACAATT